GTTGTCCATGCCATCGGAATGCGTGGTCCTGGAAACGCGTGTCGGAGACACGTGGTTCTGGAAACGCGTGTCATCGGAAGCCGAGTTCGACTTCCAAGAAGAAGGAGGACATGGGGGAGGATGAGGAGGTGGAGGGCCGCGCTTGCTAGGCACCTCGGCCCGCTAGGAGAAGGGGTCGGAGGAGGAACAAGAGTGAGAGGCGAGGGGAGATGAGGACGACGAGACGATTGAGCAGGAGCACGATTGGGCAAGGGGGAGGCGTCGCATCCACCCGAGGCGAGGAGTGCGGATCGCGGAGAGTCTCATTCTCAGTTCGTTGTTGATCACTGACCTGCCTTTTTCCTCTCTTCCTTTTCCTCCCTTTCCCTCCCCTCCTGCAGGTCGGGCTCCGATATAGGGAGCGCCCGCTCCCTCTGTCTCTCTCTTCTGAGGCAGGCCAGCATGCGGCAGACACAGCACACGCACACGAATCGTCCAATGCTCAGTGCCTTAGACCCGAGGGGGCCCGACAGGGCGCGGCTCAGCACTGATCGCAAACGACTGTTCGTCGTGTGCACGGCCGCGCAGCGGCCTCGAAAGCAACACTGCTCATATGCTGCGAGCAGTGGGCTCAGCACGGCTGGAGGAGGCAGCAGGTGCAGCGGCGGACGACTCGGCCCTTGCGCTTCATTCTCTATAGGTGTACCTTCTCCTCGGTTGGCGACAGGAGGTACAGTAAAATTGCATAGGAAGGATGGGCACCCTTCCCAAGGGCACCCTCGCATCCTTGCCTCCTCGGCCCATCGACCTTGCAACATCAAGGGTGCCCTTGCGTCCTGTGTCTCGCGACCCACTCATCCTGCACTCTTGTGGCAGTGTGGCCCTCAGAAGGCCTCTCGCGTGCCCGGTCCAATCAAGTCCGAGTGTACGTACTGCGAGCACTGGCCTCCTCCGGATGTACCTTCTCGTCGACTGGCGGCAGGCAGAAGGCCCGCAAGCGCCCCCAACCTCTTCACCGTCGGGCGAAGGACCTGGACGCGCTCGCCCTTGTGTTCCGTCGGCTCCTGGCGTCCCCACGGGCTCCCTCGTGATCCGCCAGGTCCCTCGTGCTCCGTCAGCTCCTGGCTTCCCCGCGGGTTCCCTCGTGCTCCGCCAGGCTCCTCGTGTTCCGCCATCTCCTGGGTACCACACAGGTTTCCGCCAGCTCCTGGTTTCCGCCAGGTCACTCGAATTCCGCCATCTCCCTCGTGTTCCGTCGCCAGACTTCCGAGGGGCAAGGTTTCACGGGAGATTCCCGTGGGGCAAAGTCCAGGAGATTTTGGCACGGAGTTTTCCGAGGGGCAAGATTTCCCGGGAGATAATCTGGGAGATTTCCGAGGGGCAAGGTTGCCCAAGATTTGTTTTTGAGATGTTGGATCTGACATGTGATCAAAGCACTCCCCGATCTAACTGTTGGGCATCGTCACCATGTCCAGCATCTTCGGCCCAATCCCCCGCTATGTTGGTCCGTTGATTTCGCCATGTCACCAGATCTCGATGGCCTCGATCTCACCTAAGATGATATCCTCGTCGTCCTCGGCGGCGTCGCAGCCCGCGAGAAGGGCGTCAATGTCTGGGATGTCGTCCTCCTCCTCGACCAGGCGAGCGCCGCAGGACTTGCCCTGATGACTGAAGTCTGCTCTGCCATCCCGTTTGGATAAGTCGTCTGCAGCGCCGTCTTCATGTCACGCTCCTTGTAAGATCTGGTGCACGGCGCCACGACTGCAGCCGGGGCCCGGGGCGGCATGTGGGCAACCCGCAGCAGCAGGAAGCCACGGGCCATGTCTGGCAAGACCACGCCTTCAGATTCGCCCTTCGCGACGGACGCCTGGGCCCCGCCGCAGCACGCCGCCATTGGCTCGTTGCTGGCCAGCGTTATCCAGAACACCTCCTGCAGCGCCTCACCCAGCCTGTCGTGAGCCGCCAGGTCGGGGAATATGTTGTCCAGCGCTTCGTGCACAGCACTCTCGCCGCCATCCTTCTCCAGGTCGTCCACGTCGATTCGCTCCATGGCTTTGACAGCGACATCGTCCAGCAGCGTGAGTAGCATCAGTCCAAGCTGTCGACGGATCACCCTTGGCCTTTTGGACGATGAGGTGCTCTCTGGACCACTTCTTCCAGGAGTGGTCGTCCTTAAACGCGCTAACTCCACTCCCTGAGAATATCTTGATCGCACTTGTGGGTGCGATGCTGTCCGTGGACACGTCTCACCACACAGGGTCCTTCGGTACTGGCCTCAATATCTCCCGGTGCGAAAGCACCTGCTATCGCGTGGCATGCTTCGCACCACCAGTGCAGATCGGGCTCCGACAGAGGTGGCACCCGCTCCCTCTTCTCCTTTCCTGCAGCAAGCCAAATGGCTGCAGACACCACACGCACATGAAGCACTCTATATGGCCAGTGCCTCACCCTTGGGGCCCGAGAGGGCCCTGATCAGCGCCTCCCCTCCCCTCCCTCCCCACCATCCCTCCCCTCGCTCCCCTCCCTCGCTCCCCCCCCTCGCTTCCTCCCTCCCCTCCCCTCCCCTCCCCCCCTCGCTCCCCTCCCCTCGCTCCCCTCCCCTCGCTCCCCTCCCCTCGCTCCCCTCCCCTTCGCTCCCTCCCTCCCCTCCCCTCCCCTCATCCTCCCGCTGGCCCCTGCATCCTCGGAAGCAGGCCACCGTCCTAGCCCCGAGTCCTCCCTCGTGCATCCTCTCGCTTCCCCGCTCCCCGCTGCTCAGTACCCATCGGTCGTTGAAAGTAGGTGTTTCTTGATTCCCAGAACCCAATCTACTTCAAGTGCCTTCCTACTTCAAGAATCGATGTGCTTTGTGTGCGTCTTTTTACTCTCTGGGCGGGCCCGAGCCCAATCTACTTGATCCGCCTTCCTGATCCATGTTCCAGGCCTCCCACGGGCCCTGGGGCCATCAGACAGCTGCGCGGGAGGACGTGCAACGCTCCACCGATACTGCGAGGAGGCGGTGGAAGGACGAGGAGGTGGAGGCGAAGGAGCTGCCGTAGCCGTTTTGGCTCCAGTGCTCCCGCTCGAGAGTTTGCCGTCGTTTCTTGCGCATCCCTTCGGATGCAACTCCTGGGAGGTCAAGTTCTGATTTTGCCCTGGTCCGAAATCCGGCGAAATCCCGCTTAGTCCTGCTTGATCCGGCTTCATCCCGCTGAATCCCGCTTGATCCGGCTCCATCCGAGGCCCACTCCGGCGTAACAGCCCCCCAATGGGGCTTAATCCTCTTCAATCCTTCCGACGCAAGTCTCCCAGTAGTGGCCTCCGAACCTCCCCAGCCATGGCCCGCTCCGGCAGCACGATGCTGAGGGCCTGCGTCCTGGCGGCGGGCGCGGCGGCGTGCCTCAGCGCCGGCGGCCTGTCCTTCGTGGCAGCCCCGCGCGCGGCGCCCGAGGCACAGGCGGTGGCCGCCGCGCTGGCTGGCCTTGAGGAGGGAAAAAACACAGACACAATGAATCGTAGATTCCCCAGAGAATATGGGAGAATATGGGAAGTCGGGGGGAAGACAAAGAACCCAGAGAATATGGGAAAAGATGGGGAATCCTTCTATTTGTGTGTAGTTATTCGTATGTCCCAGGGCCCCTTCAGGTCTGGCCGTGGCGCAGCCCGCGCTTGCCTACGAGGGGTCCATCAACACCGACAGCAGCGGCGTCGACGGTGGCGGTGCCTTTGTTCTCGGCCTCGGCTCCGCCTCGCTGACCTTCCTGTACGTCGTGTTCAACGTCGTCGGCCCGTACTGGAAGGCCAAGAAGGGGGACTACTACACGCCGAAGTGAAGCGCGGTGGACGCAGGGCTCACGAGCCCGCGGCAGGCAGCATGCGTTGCCGTTCACGATTTTTCAAAGACAGCGTGCCAGTTGTACAGAGGACGCTGAGGTCATGGTGCAAACACGACGCCATAACGATTGATCCGTTCCCCGCGTTCCGTCGGATCAATAGAGATGAGCACAGTATCGAAGCAGAAAAAGGCGCCATAATCATAAACTTTTTGCGCTCCGCGCGGATGTCTCGGATCTGCGCTGGCCCCCCCCCCCCGGCGGCGCCTCCAGCGCCGCCCCTGGCGTGCTTCGCGCGCCAGGGAGGGGGTCCAGCGTAGACCCAAGAAATCCGCGCGGAGCGCCGAAAGTTTGTGTTTCTGTCGTGTTCTTGCTCTGCAATCGTGATCTGCCCCATCATCCTTTTCTCTCCTCCCGAATCGTCTACTGTCAGCTGGGGAAATAACACACAGACACAATTAATCGTCCACTCCCAGGAACATACGGGAAAATGTGGGAAGTGGGGGGGAAGACAAACACCCAGAACATATGGAAAAATATGGGGAATCCTTTTACTTGTGTGTATTTATTTGTGTGTCCCAGGGCCCCTTCATACTGACCAGCTGCCGCCATCCTGCGTGTGAACTTCTCGGTCACGCCGCTGGCGACTCCGGGGGCGGCTGCCCCTGGAGCCACCTGGCGCAGCAGTTCTGGGTCGGGCGTGTCCCTCTACAGGAGGTATGTTCGAGAGTAGCCAACCATAGCCTGTGGACGATGTCTCTAGTAATGTTTGACAAGTTTGATGTATGGTTTCGGCACTTTCTAATTGTTCTTCGAGCATCCGCCTACAGGAAGACATGCCCGACCTAACAGTAGTTGGATCACCCCTCAAGGGCAAACGCCCCTGACGGGGGGGACGGCAACGTGTGAAGACCCTTCGGGTAGGGGATCGACTACAGAATTGTGATGTACCCCTAAGCCGTCAGCTCTGCAACAGCAAGTACGTGGAATGTTCGCAAGCATTTCCAATGGTGGGAGTAAATCAATTCGGTAGTCGATCCCCTACTCGGACCTCGGAGTCGCCAGTCACGAATCACGAGGAGGAGCTGGTGCAGCACCTCTGCGATGCCAGACGGCGCGCTCGACGTCAGGAGATCGAGCCACCTCTGTGACAGGGCGGCGCTTCGATCACCGCTTCGATCACCGCCGCCCGTCCCCCACATCCGCGAGGCAAGCTGATCTCGGTGGGGGCGAAGCTGGAGCCCATCATGTAAGGACCGGGGGACGCCAACCGTGGCAAATTCGCGCCGCCCGCCGTGCTGGCGACGCTGGCGCGGGCGATCGAGGTTGAATACCACTTCGTAGGGTGGGGGCGTTCCGGGCCCGTGCATAGTGAACTCGCATAGTAAGGATGGGCATCTTTCGCGCTGCTGTCGGGACGCCCGTCGGCGTGCCTTCTTCTTCGTCCTTTGGTGCTGGTGCACGATGTATCTGGTTGCCTTCGGCCCATCCCGCCCCCGCGCCTCGGTTGCCAGTCGGAGGTCCCAATGGATGCTCGTGAGGATTGCGAAGGCCTTACGGCCGATGCCGCCGGCCCTGTAGGCAACGACGACGAAGACAATGGAGGTAGAGGAGTTCAAGATGCCCTCAGATGCCTCGAAGACGGCGCCAGATGCCTGCAAGGTCGTCCGGAGACAGCTCAAGAGGCCTCCTCCAGGGTGCGGGAACGGCTCCAGAGAGTGCCAAGATAGGTCCCCTGGATGCTCGTGAGGATTTATCTGGAGACCTCTAGGACGCCTGTAGGTGGCGTGTTTTTTTACCTAACAGCGAAGACTGATAGGTTTCTAGTGGGATCAAAAGAGAGCAGCAGATCACTCCACAGGGGGGTCCGGGCAGGTGTTGGGAGTTGCCGGGCGGCAGGTGCCGGGCTCGTTTTTCACCAACAGTCACACACTTCGTGCTCTTCGACTTCCCAGAACTCCATTCCCAGGCCACATTCTCAATACCCGGATGCAACAGTCACACACTTCGTGCTCTTCGAGATCCCAGAACGCCATTCCCGGGCCACATTTAGAATAACCGGATGCAACAGTCACACACTTCGTGCTCTTCGACATCCCAGAACGCCATTCCCGGGCCACACCCGGAGCAACACACACTTCGTGCTCTTCGATTTCCCAGAACTCCATTCCCGGGCCACATTTTGGATGCCCGGAGCCAACTGTAGGCCACTTCGTGCTCTTCGAGTTCCCAGAACTCCATTCCCGGGCCACATTTTGAATGCCCGGAGCCAACTGTAGGCCACTTCGTGCTCTTCGAGTTCCCAGAACTCCATTCCCGGGCCACATTTTGAATGCCCGTAGCCCACTGTAGGCAACTTCGTGCTCTTCGACTTCCCAGAACTCCCACTCCTGGGCCACATTTTCAGCAGGGGCAAGAGCACGACGAGGAGGAGGACGAGCAAGACCAGGAGGACGAGGACGAGCAGGAGCAGGACGAGGAGCAGGAGGAGCAGGAGAAGAAGGACGAGCAGGAGGAGGAGGAGGACGAGCAGGAGGAGGAGGACGACCAGGAGGAGGAGGACGACCAGGAAGAGGAGGAGGAGGAGGAGGAGGGGAGGGGGGGGGAGGACTACCAGGAGGAGGAGGAGGAGGAGGAGGAGGAGGAGGAAGAGGAGGAGGAGGAGGAGGAGGAGGAGGAGGAGGAGGAGGAGGACGAGACGAGGACGAGGAGGAGGAGGAGGAGGTGGGGGGAGAGTACCAGGAGGAGGAGAACGAGGACCACCAGGAGGAGGAGGAGGAGGAGGAGGAGGAGGAGGAGGAGGAGGAGGAGGAGAGAACACCAGGAGGAGGAGGACGAGCAAGACGAGGAGGACGAGAACGAGGACGACCAGGAAGAGGAGGAGGAGGAGGAGGAGGAGGGGGAGGACTACCAGGAGGAGGAGGAGGAGGAGGAGGAGGAGGAGGAGAGGAGGAGGAGGACGAGGAGGAGGAGGAGGAGGAGGACGAGGAGGAGGAGGGGGGGGGAGAGCACCAGGAGGAGGAGAACGAGGACCACCAGGAGGAGGAGGAGGAGGAGGAGGAGGAGGAGGAGGAGGAGGAGCACCAGGAGGAGGAGGACGAGCAAGACGAGGAGGACGAGAACGAGGACGAGCAGGAGGAAGAGGAGGAGGAGGAGGAGGAGGAGGAGGAGCAGGAGAAAGAGGAGGAGGAGGAGGAGGCAGGCTGAGGCTGAGGCTGTGACTGCGACTGCCGTTGCCGCTGCGACTGTCATCGCGAATGCGACTACGACTGCGAGAACAGCAGAATTCGACAACTGGATTTTCATCTGAATCTTAAGGGGAATGCTTTCAGATATGCTTCTACACATCGCTGTTAGGTTGCTTTGCCGGGATATTTTTTTTTTGTTTGTGTGTGTGTGTGTGTGTGTGTGTAAGTGTGTGTGTGTGTGTGTGTGTGTGTGTGTGTGTGTGTGTGTGTTCTAGGGTCGACTTTGGGCCAGATTCTGGGGCCTTTCGGGCCTCTCGGGGGTTTTCGGGGCCTCTGGGGGGCCTCTTTGGGGCTTGATTCTGGGGCTCTTGGGGCCTCTCGGGGGTCTCTGGGGGCCTCTCGGGGGTCTCTGGGGGCCTCTTGGGGACACCTCGGGGGCTTCTGAGGAGATCTTGGGGCGGAGGGCTCCACACGTAAGCTCGTGCTCCCTCTCACTTGGCCTTGGGGGCCTTTGGGGCCCATCTTGGGCAGTTCTCGGGCGAACTTGGGCGCCTGTTGGGCCGTCTCGGACGCTTGGAGAACCAACAAGGCGGCAAGGCTCGCGCCTCGCGGTCCGGCTGTGATTTCTCATCCTCCTTTCCTCCCCTGGGGAGCGGCGCGGGAGCGCGAAGAGTTATTCGCTCTCTCGCGTTTTCGGTTCGGCTTCGATTCTCGCGGGCGACTTCTCAGGTCGATTGGATTCATTCCCCGAGTCTCGCAGGCGACCTCCGTCTCGATTCGATTCCGATCTTCTCCGACTCGATCCGATGCTCAATTCTCGCAGGCGATGTTTCTTCCCCGATCCCAGAAGACACAGGCGGCTTTTCAGAAGGTGCGACGGCGTCTGAGAGGGCGCGGAGGCTCCCGGGAGGTCCCGCCGCGCTCTGAGAAGGCCTGCTCCTCCTCACTTCCCCCCCTCGCCCGCCGCCGATCTGATTGGATTCGATTCCGACTCCTCCGACTCGATTCATTCCCAACCATCCTCTTCGTTCTCCTCCTCCTCCTCCTCCTCCTCTTCCTCCTCTTCCTCCTCCTCCTCCTCCCCTCCTCCTCCTCCTCCTCCTCCTCCTCCTCCTCCTCCTCCTCCTCCTCCTCCTACCCCTCCTCCCTCCTCCCTCCTCCTCCCTACTCCCCCTCCTCCCTGCACCCACCAGTGCAGCGCTTCGTGGCCCCGTGCCCCACTGAAGGTCCCAGTGCTACCGCCCGGATGCGTCCCACCCACTCAGTACAGTGTTTCGTGGCCCTCTTCCCCCTCCTCCCTGCGTTTCACCCACCCAGTACAGCGCTTCGTGGCCCCATACGGAGCCACACCGAAGGTCCCAGTGCTACCGCCCGCAGGCGTCCCCCCACTCAGCACACTGTTTCGTAGCCCTCCTCTCCCTCCTCCATTCGTTTCACCCACCCAGTACGGCGTTTCGTAGAGCCCCGCCGAAGGTCCCAGCCAGTCCGCAGGCGCACCCCCGCTCAGTACAGCATTTCGTGGCCCCATAGGGAGCTCCACCGAACCGTCCGCATGCGCCCCGAAACACACAATTTGGCATTTTCACCCACCCAGTACAACGTTTCGTGGCCTCATTGGAAGCTCCACCCAATGCCCCAGTGCCACCGTCCGCATGCATCCCGAAAACCCAATGTGGCATTTTCAGCCACACAGTACAGCGCTTCGTGGCCCTGTAGGAAGCTCCACCGAAGCCCCCAGTGGGACCGTCCGCATGCGATCCGAAACACCCACTTGGCATTTTCACCCACCGATTGCAGCGCTTCGTGTCCTCATAAGGGTGCTCCACCAGAGGCTCCAGTGCCACCGTCCGCATGCGTCCTGAAAACCCAATGTGACATTTGTACCCACCCAGTACAGCGCTTCGTGGCCCCATAGGGAGCTCCACCGAAGCCCCCAGTGGGACCGTCCGCGTACGTCCCTGAAACTTAATTTGGCATTTTCACATGCCCAGTACAATGTTTCATGGCCCCAGAAGGGGGCTCCACCCAATGCCCCAGTTCCACTGACCGCATGCGTCCCGAAAACGCAATGTGGCATTTTCACCCACCCAGTACAGCGCTTCGTGGCCCCATAGGGAGCTCCACCGAAGCCCCCAGAGGGACCGTCCGCGAGCGTCCCTGAAACTTGATTTGGCATTTGGACCCACCCAGTACAGCGCTTCGTGGCCCCATACGGGGCTCCACCGAAGCCAAGCCCCCAGGGGGACCGTCCGCATGCGTCCCGGAAACCTAATTTGGCACACCACCCACCCAGTACAGCGTTCCCCCCCACCCAGTGCAGCGCTTCCAAGCCCCATAGGGAGCTTCACTGAAGAAGATATTCACAATTGCGGTACCCACAACTGCATATGGTTAGGTCCTCCGCCAGGATATTTTTCGATCGAGGGAGGAAGGACCGCCCCGACCCCAACATTTGGCATTTACTAAACGGCCCTCGGCGTTTGCGAAGCAGCCCTTCTCTGTTCCATTCCTTCCTCGGGTGCGTTTACTAGATGGCTTCGCTTGCTGGGGTGCTCATTGAGAGGGTGGATCTGTTACTCCCTGATCAACTCTCGCAGGCGATGCTTCTTCCCCGATCCTCCGGTTCCGCCGGAAAATTCCGGCCGCTCAGGAAAAGGCGGGGGGGACCCGGGGATACACCCCAAGGGAGCTATCCGGGCGACCCGCCGTGGACGACCCGCCGTCGTGTATCCCAGGGTTGGGCCTCAACTTCCTGGTCCAGTCGAAAACCCCACGAAGCCTGGGATATTGGTCGACTCATCCCCTGTTTTTCGACTTCGGATTCCGCTCTGGACTTCGGCTCGACTCCGATTTCGATTCGATGCTCCTTCCGAGACCGATCTGGATTGCGCTCGGTTCCGACTCCGGTTCGCTTCGCCTTCGGATTCCGAGTTGGGCTACGGTGTCTCCGCGGAGGCCCAACTGGCTCGCCGATGTCCGCCGGTGTCGACTTCTCCCGACTGGGCTGCCGAGTTTTCCGCCGATCCGCCGAACCCCAACCACCCGATCGTAAGGTATACCCCCGC